TAAACGAAAAGTTTCAATTTAGTTTTTGGCAGGTAGTTCTGCTGATTAAATGCATGATAATTTCATATGAGTATGCTTGCGATATGTTCAAGAGATAATCGATGGTTTTTCATTTTATTAACTCGTTTTATAAGTTCTGAGATTAAGATTCTGCTTCAGAATAACAAAAACAGGTGTTATAATAATAGATAATATTTTCATGTAAATTCCATACTCTATGTAAATATACAAAGCAAACAATAATTGGTTTCCGTTTAAATGACCTTTTTCAAATAATTGATCTCCATTAAAATCAAATTATTTGAGGTAGTCAAATCCACTTAAAGAAAAAAAATAAAAATGAAATATAAATTTATGTTGATTATCAATTATTCAATCTTATTAAATTTAAATTATTTTTTATCCAGTGCCGGTGACACAGGTTCAAGGAGTGTTCGGGCGAAAGGTTGCTCTTCCTTGTGATGTGACACCACCAATTGAAGGCGATGTTGTCCTCATGGTGTTATGGTTCCTGGAACCAAGTCAGCAACCTCTTTATAGGTATGGTTAATTAATTTATTCAATCGAAATGGCATGCATATAAATATTGTACCATATGCATATAAATCGTAAAAAAGAATATTTTTACTGCAAAAAAGCAGTTGTTGTCGATTTTAATTTAGTATTACATTTATGTATTTTGAAACTAAATTCTATAAAGGTTAAGAGTTAAGTATGATAAAAACACAACTATCGATTATAATCAAGTGTATCAAATATATAATTCAATTTCAATTCTAATAGATTCGTATTGTGTTGATTCTATTTTTACCTACTTATATTTGTACCTAATTATATTTCCAAATAGTTCTACAGACAACTATCAATTAAATTAGTATAATTATATTTATTTACCCAAGCGATATTAATTTCAAATCAATAATACTTTACAATGATATCTCTACAAAAAATTATTAATACATCCGCAATTAGGATATCGAATACTAGTATTAGTCATACACGATTAGTCACACAATCAAGTGATTATTATTTCTATTTCCACTTAATAATTATTCATCATAAATACTGTAAGGATTGTAAAAAATACTTTGGATACAGGGTCTCTTCTTATGATGTAATGTAATAAATGTTACTAGGATTTAAATACTATGGGAATATTAAGTAATTGTAAAGCATTAATCAAAACTAACGTTGACAATTAATGAGCATATTAATGCATGTAGAAACGTGCTAATTATTATCAAGCTAAGAATATATTTATCATGTTAAGAATATATTCAATATATTTGCAAACTTTACAACTGGTATTTTAAGATTGGAATATATCTATGTATTTTTTCATTTGAATATGAAATGATATTAAATATGCATGCAATAATGAAAGATGCGTTTTTTTTAATTCAAGGCGTGTGAGAAACAAGTTTTGATCTAATTTGCAAAAACTTTTACATATTTTATATTATATTTATAAGTAGAATAATTATGTATCATTATTATAATTGCAATTGCGTAAGAAAATATTTGTATTATATTATTTCGAGTTATTTATTATAATGTACTATTCCCTATATTTATAAGAAAAGCATTCTAAATATGCTACAATATGTTAGTACTAATAATAAGATGTAGCAATAGCAATTTTAAAAAATCTTAAAATCAAAAAATTATATAGAAAATATTAAATCAAATTGTTGAAAACATTTTTGATCTTTCTTTACAAGAAATAGTTATAATGGTATAAATACATTCATTAAAAATATATATGTTCGCAATTAACGTATTAACCTCTCGACCTTTAAAAAAAAACTTGCCTTAGGAGTTTCATAAGCAATTCTCGATCACTTTAACACATTTAAATTATTCCAAACAGAAAGATTGATGATATATTAATAAGTTTCTAACAGATCGTGTTACATGTAATAAGATTAAGAATTTTTGCTCTTTATTCATCGGATGTCAGTTTTTAACGACTTGCGTAAACTAATGAACAATCATAATTATAAATTTTGGATAAGATGTTTCACGGCCGAATATTCATAATTACTAGAGACGATATAATTCATAGGCTTACGCAATTTAATGTACTTCAACGACTTGTTTTAATTATACTGTGAAATGTTAAATAAGCGAATAAAAAGTATGTTTTTGATAAATGATGATGAAGCAGGCATTAAGATAAAACTTGGCTTTTTGCATGATTTTTATATTCATGTTTTAATATATTAGGTTGTCAAATATCTCCCTTCCGCTTTTTTGCTCTTGGTTTATAATACAAAAGGGCGGAAGGGAGATATTTGACAACCTTATATTTTTAATTGTAAATACTAGTTGTACTATAAAATATCATATTTTTGAATTTATTGAAATAAGTTTGATGAATGTGATCTTATTTTTAACTTCCCGTAGGGCAAGTAGTCGCAAAAAAATCTAAAATGAAAATTTTTATATACGAGGTGTGTTCAAAAAGTACCCGGAATTACTAATAATTAAATTTCGCGGGTCTGGAGTGTCTGATTGTCAAAATTGTGTTGGTATACATGCCCCTAAAGTATGATGAAATTTTCAGCTATATTCACTGTTTACTTTGTCTGTGGTAGTCGCTAAGGTTCGACGTGTTTTTCTGAGCTGGGCGATTTTTACAATGGAAGAATTGAAAAGTCAAAGAATTTGTATTAAATTTTGCGTAAAAAATGAAATAAAGTGTTGCAAAGTGCAAAAATTCACCAGATATGGCTCCGTGTGACTTTTTCCTATTCCCAAAGTTGAAGAGACCCATGAAAGGACGGCGGTTTTCCTCGATTGAAGAAAATCGCTGAGAGTGCTCAAGGACATATCAAAAAGTGAATATCAAGGGTGCTTCGAAAATTGAAAAAAACGCTGGCATAAGTGTATTATATCTGGGGGGGACTACTTTGAAGGGGACCACATTAATGTAGACGAATAAATAAATATTTTTTGAAAAAACGAAAATTCCGGGTACTTTTTGAACAGACCTCGTATCTTTACGTTTTAAAACCTTCTGAACATTTTGGCATAAATAAATTAAAGCAAGATAAATTAAAATCAAATTAAATTCAACATTACTACATTTGTCTTCTCTATTCCTTTATCCCAGCCTGGATGCTCGCCGTGTCCGCCTGGACGCAGGCCGACGTTGGGCTTCTCCTGACCTGATGGAAGGCAGGGCGTTCTTTCGCACCGCGTCAAAGCCGGCTGCACTGCTCCTGGACGGGGCAAGAGTCCGGGACGAGGCGATGTACCGGTGTCGGGTAGATTTTCGCGATTCGCCTACCAGGCATTCGCTGGTCAATCTCACAGTCGTCGGTAAGTGCAATTTAATAAAAGTTATGTAAAATTACTGTAAAAGGATTGAAGATTTTTGTTTAATTGTGTTGAAAATGTTAGCTACTTTGTAGAACCTGAAATTAATTGGATATAATAATTGAGCAGTTGATATCCGAATATTACAAGATATGTAACTGTTTTTTTCAAATCATTTTTTGCACAGTGAGAAAATCAGTAATTATAATCATCATTTCAGTAATTTCCATATATTACATGCAAAAATATTTTGAAATTTTCAATTATTTCTTTTTTTTTTCATTTTCTTATAAATTACAATCTGTCTAAATAGAAAGACATTGAGTAATTAGTTCGACAAATAACATATTAAATTTTAAAGTGGTTCACCTTTTATTAGTGTACTAAATTATATTTTAATTTTGGTATAATAAAGAAAAAAAAAAGAAACTCAAATATACATACAATTATAAACAAAGTACATTACACAGACTACATATACACATACATGTTTTAAATAATATGGTAGAACAACTTATTACTGATTAATATGTTAGATCTATTAATTGTATTCTTTTTAATCTTATATTATGTGTTGTGAAAACTTGCAATCAGTTCGTTTGGATGGTTCAATTATCTCTAATGTCTGTGTAATAATAATGTTTGGATTTTGTAACATTTTATTATTTATTTTAAGGATTTTATAGGAATTATTCCATTGAGCAAGTCAGTTTTTTGCCAAGAGAGCAAAGAAAATTATAGCCCTTTATTTTTAAACATAATACTCGTGCTTCATGTTGGATTTTTTTACTTAATTTTTCATTGTTTACCATATCCAAAGTATATCGTAAACTTATCTATTTTTATATCATTTATATATATATATATATATATATATAACTAGCTGACCCGGCAAACGTTGTTTTGCTAAATAAGGTATATTCTAAACCATTTCTAGAGAATCAAAAATATTAATACTTTAAGTGCATAAGGATGTGTTGTTTGAATGCTATATACAATGAGGTATTATAAAAACAACAAACCCGATTAGTTTGTCTATATTTTGTCAATACAATCAAACTGCAAGTTTTATACACTTTTTATAGAATACATCGTATAATCCAATCCGAGTCTTTTTTGGTTTTTCGGCTTATTAATTACGTTTCAAGTTTTTCAGATTCTTTTTAGATTCTAGATTTTGTGTATAATTGTTAATAATACTACTGAGCTTATACAAAATTTTCAAATTTTTGCGAGGAGAGATAAAAAATGAATTAAGTATTTCTTTTTTGACCTGCTTTTTGAAAAGTTTCAAGTTACATTCGTTGAATTAAAGTAAATTTAATAAAAAGTATATATATAGAGCAGGGCGAGACACAAAGGTCCAATTTGACTTTGAGCAAATATAAACTATATTGTGAAAACCATAACAATTATATCACAACAAATAGCACATATCAAACGAACACATATCTGACTACGTTCAGTAAACTGACTTCTACTTCATCATTGTAGAAATGTGCTTTTTTGATGGCTTTCAAAAATTTGTTATCTAGACCTTTTTATCCTATATGCGGGTTAACTTGTAACGGGCAGGTGGCAAAAGGTTTAAAGCCTTATTATAATTTTAAACTAATGCTAAAACTACCAACTGAAGAAAATACTTTTATTATGGATTTTCAAAGATTACCGTTTATCTACCCCATTTCAAAAATTATCGTTTTCAAATCAAGGTTGTAGCTGGCTATACATCTTTTTTCCTCTACTTTCAAATATTGTTGTTAAACAATGCTTAACTTTACTGGTATTTGGCACATCGGTGGTGGACCTTTTTAATCCCGGACCTTCATATATTACTATCTATTGTGCGATAAATTCTGGGAAATTATAACTGAAAAATATTATTCGACAAAATGTCCATTTGATCGATACCAAATTTGGGTTCTGAATTTAAATAACATAAATAAAAAATAATATAACCTAGAAAATGTTTTATAAATACCAATGAGTATATAATTATACAAATGAGATCTTTCAGAGTACCGTGTTTGAGAAAAATATGCAAAAAAGTGCATTTTCACGAATTTTCACGATTGGCACGAATTTTTCAAGACTTAGACTGGCCAAATCTATTCAGCCGTTTTCGAGTTTTATTCGGACATTTGAAAGACAGCTCCATTTTTATATATAAGATATATAGTTATATTTATATTACGGATCAGGATTAAATTTAGTAATTAAAGAAAATAAAATGTCTTAATTGAATTAATTATAGGAAAATAGAACTCTAAAACAATATTAAGCCTAACATTAGTATTATGTAATACAATCTTGAAGAAACAATGTTATAATATTGAGATAGTTTGATTAAGGCTTGTAGATCTTGAGATTCTTCAGATGATAAAAAAAATCTTTAAATTACTTTAAATATCCGTTACGCAATTTTCATTTGAGTCCGATATCTGGAATATAATAATTAAGGGCAGTATAATATGAAAATAATTGTAGTAATAAAATACTTAGGGTAGAAAAATGTTAAAATAATTTGGAACAAAAATTAGAAAAAGTATGGAAAATGGAAGAAATAATTGTAACGGTTGGAAAAAAAGTATCAGATATTATCAGTAGGCATTTCATTATCAAAATATTGTTTGATATCGAAATTGGCAAATTTAGAAGTATCGTAGAAACTAATTGATATTGTAAGGGCCGTCGAATTGATTGTTGTTTTAAAGTTAAATTCTTAACATATTTTAAAATTATTGTCCAAAGATTAGTAGACGTACAAACATACAAACTGTATAAAGATTTCAGTCAAAACTGATATTATAGTCTTATGATAGTAAAACAAATTATTCATTTGGAGCTTATTCTTGCGATTTCAATGATTTGAGTGTGGAGAATAAATCTAATTAATAATTGTTTTGTGAAGTATATTTAGACATATAAAAAAATAATGCCAAAGAAATAGCCACAAAAAAGTAGAGAATTTGAATATGAAGTACAAGGTCTATATGGCTATCATGGAACTTATACATTTGCACTGCAAGAATATGGCTCCAAATTAATCATTTGTTTTACTACCATAAGACTATAGTCTCTAGAACTTGTACTTTATAGTCAAATTTTCTATTTTTTTGTGACTATTTCTTCAGCATTAGTTTTTTATATGTCTAAATATATACTTCACAAAAACAACTATTAATTAGATTTATTCTCCACACTCAATTCATTGAAATCGTGCGTTAAACAAAAAAATACCACCTACAATCAAGTCGATGCGTGACATTGCATAGATAATAAAATATTTTTTCATTTATTTTATTTAAGTACTATTTTTTACCAATCTTTATTTTTTTCAAATACTGCATTTCATCGGCGGATATTGAAGATAATGCGTTACTTCACGCTTAAGCACACCTCATTGTAATGTTCATGATGTTTTTATATTCAATTCGATCTATAATCAATTCCTTCTGCCGAACGCAATTACTTGTAAAACAATTCGGTGAGGCGGATAAACGACCAGTCATCCTGCGTTACAGAATTGAAATTCCTTTAATAGAAATATCCACAGTTACAATTTCCATTGTCTTTATTCTACGATGGAAATTGGTTGATTGAGATGTATTAAATTCATTGCTGTATATAAGTGACATATAATTCTTTAAATTTTTAAATGGAATAAATGTTGACGTTGCGATGTGTTAATGGAGACTTAACGTAACCGGTTTGATAGAAAATGCTCTAAAATAGAAATAATTAACATGTTTATCTATGTTACGACATGTAATGGATGTCTTCTAATTTATTGATACGTGTATGTTTCTTAATTTTTTCATCCAAATTTTATAATTATTCTATATATAGTAGATCTATATGTATAGTCCCATAGTGATGATCAATATTGAAACGATTCATCTCAAACATAGGCAAGGAATATAGCAATGCGCATAAATTTTTAATGGATATTTTTAATTATATTCAATGTATTGTACTATTTGTATGAAATTCATTGCTATTTTCTATATATTTTATTATTTTGGTAAATTTTTGCAGTACCCCCAGGAAGACCTCGTATTTATGATGGGCGAAATAATAATCGCAGTAGCGTCGTGGCTCCTTATGTTGAAGGCAGTGACGTAGTTCTTATTTGCGAAGTTGATGGCGGTAAGTTATTTCAAATTACATAATAATTTATTTATTATACAGAATACTGGAGTTTTAAAGTACATCATTAAATACTAGTGAGAATTTTCTATATCAATAAAAAAAATAATGTCCCACATGAAGAATAATTTCTCACATTTTTTAAAATGATGCTTTTAGTATTGCCTCGTAAGATTGCTATAGACAATCATAAATTCATTTTATCGCTCAAATATCAAAATTTACCTAATGGTCGCATATGATTAATGAATAAAATAAATGTTTATTTTGATAAGTTTTTACTCAACAAATTATGCTTATGATAACAAATATTTTTATGAACAAAACAACTGTTACATTATAGATTCCCACAGTCAATTATCATATAACAAATCTTTTAGATACACAAACCATCATTAGGTCATATCTATTTGTTCTTTCGCTCCCACGTTGACTGACCATTATAATTTACATGGCTTTCTGGAAACTTTGCCATATATGACTTGTTTTTATCAATGGACATTTATCTTGATCAAAAATTACAAAATTAATTTGAAACCACTTATGAATGTCTTCAATAAGCACCAAGGGGATAACTATTAATTATATCAATATCCTTGTAAGTTCTTAATTATTAATTACTTTTTCTAAACCGAATTCTGCTCAGCCAGGTCGTCCGACGCCCCGCTTGTCTTGGTTTATGGAATCCACACTTCTGGACGAATCCTGGTTACCCAGGCCGGCGGCCGTTGGTGGAGGATCAATCAACCGTCTGCTGCTGCCTGGTGTGGGCAGACAGCAGCAACACGCCAGGCTGGTGTGCCAAGCGGCCAATACGGATCTTGTGCAGGCTGCTACGACGGCAATCGTATTGGATATACAGTGTAAATATAATAAAATTTATTTTTATTAAAATTATATCAATTATTGAAAGTAGGTTACTAAAAGAAATGTCTTGTAAAATGTTAAATTACTATTAAATCGAATTGAAGCGATTTATTTCATTTGATTGTCATAGTCGAATACTATCATGAAATGAATTGCATAGAGATTTGTTATTTTTTGAAAATACTTTTGCGATATACATATACAAAATGGCAAAATTAATTTTTGTAGATAAATAACGCCGTAATCAATAGCATCAGGTTTATTACAGTTTATTAACTTCCCGTAGGGCAAGTTATAGTAATCGCAAAAAAATCGAAAATGAAAATTTTTATATATCTTTACGTTTCAAAGGTTTCTGAACATTTTGGCATACCTTAGAAAAAATGGATGTATGTGTGTGTGTGTGTGTGTATGTATGTATGTGTGTGTATGTATGTGCGGATACAAATTTTCGTCGACGATTTCGGAAACACGGATCAACCGATTTGAATAATTCAAAAAACATTCGATTTGTATTGATAAGGAGACGTGCTGATTAGTTTTTGGCGAAGGCAGGTCTAGCCGTTCCGAAGATACGGGGCAAAAAGTGCCAAAAACGGTAACTCAGTTTTTAAGAGAACGGAGCGTCCGATTTAAATAATTCAAAAAACATTTTACTTGTATTGACAAGATGAAGAATCGATAAAATTTTCATAAAGGTAGGTCTAGCGGTTTCGGAGATATGGAGGAAAAAGTAAAAAAATTAGCCATTTGGCGGTCAAAAATGATCATTAAACATATGCACATCAAATGATCAGATATTTTATAGAGATTTTTAACAATAAGTATACATTTTGTTAACATTCCTATGGGTTCCGTACCAATGCTTATGCGTTAGACAGCGACGCGGCGCTTACGCGCTTTATATTTTGTCCCTAGCCGTTAAATCAGTACGATTGCTTTGAAAAAAAGTTCAGATCTTCCACAATATGTCAAAATAAAGAAAAAAAATTTTTTTTTTCAAAAAAAAAAAAATTAAAAAAAAATATTTTTTTTAAAAAAAATTTTTTTTTCAAAAAAAAGTAATTTTTTGTCCATATATATAGTTTCTCAAAAATATTATTTTTTCAAGGTACATTTTTTTCAAAAATGTTAATCGTTTTTAAAAAATTAATAATTTTTGGTACGGGAAGTTCCAGCAATTTGCCTTAAGGCACGATGCCTTAATTGCCTTAACACAGAATTCCACTTACAGCTAGTTAATACAATTTCTGGCATTTACGCTTTGTACTTTTTTCCATTTTTATTATATCTGCATAGACAAAATATTTCATATTTGATTTTCTGAGTGAATCTAGTGAACATTACGATGTAAAAATATGTAAAATATTTAATTGAATATCATATGTAAATGCATTACTTAAAGTGTTGATTATAATTATAATTAACAAACATTTCAAGTATGAAAATATTTAAAATAATATTTTTTGTTTTAGTATAATTTTATGAATATGCAATTAGAATACAAAATAATTCTATCACGATATGGTTTGATTTCAAAAATTATTTAATTAAATTGAAACACTATGAAAAATATTAATAACAGTATTCAACTCAATGAACTTTACTTCTAATCCGAATGATTTTTAACTTCTCGAAGGAGAGGTTTATGTTTTCATCAAAAAATCCGAATCGCTACTTTTATGTTTTCTCGACGTTTCAAGCCATTCTGAATCGAATGATACCAAATTTGGAAAAAGTATGTGTATGTGTGTGTGTGTGAACAGATTTTTTACTTTTATTACGCAATCGAATAGAATTTAAAAATTTCATAACAATATATTATCTTCAAAAAATTTAAGAAACTCATTATATTTTCAGTACGTCCGATTTCAGTGCACATTTTAAATAAAGAAACAAGATTGTCTGCTGGGCGTAACTGGAACATAGAATGCGAAGCCACTGGTTCGAATCCACCAGCAATTATCTCATGGTGGAAATCAGGAAAGGAATTAATTGGTGAACAGGTAAAAGAAAAACTAAATTTTTAACATTTATTTTCTCTACTACATGATATTTGCAATCAACTTTTTCTAAATTTGCTTTCAGAATGAATACGACACATTAGGAATTCTGCACTTCGTTCCAACCATGGAAGACGATGGAAAATATTTAACATGTCGTGCAAATAATCCTGCTGTACCAGATAGTACACTGGAAGATAAATGGCTTCTAAATGTGTTATGTAAGTATTTGTAAAATTGATATTTAATATTTCTTCCCCATATTTTCTTTTATTGATCGATATTAATTTTACTCACGATCACGATCATCCTCTGTTCTTAAATAAAATTTTGTGGTAAACAGCAATATTATATATTTTATGGTCTACATTTGATATAAAAATATCTTAAAACAATACATTATTAATTTTGCTTTTTATCTTCGATTTTTTTTGCTTTGGTTGAAAACATAACACTTTATTTTATGTGATTTGAATAATCATTTCCAATACTCTATAATGATGCATTTAAGATTAATCAATTAGACCAGTCGTGACTTCAGGTCAATATATTTTTACTAGTAGTGATTTATAACACATAACATATTTTTATCTGCATTTTATTATTCGATTCTTATCCAATTCCTCTCATTTATTTTAATGTCATCAATATCGGAGATGCTAAAAAATTTAACGTAAGTGATAAATCTAACATCAGCGTATATAAAATAAAATGTTAGTGGAATTCCATGGCCACTAGCAGTAAAAATGTATAAAAGAAAATTTTATGGTATTGGAATTAGTCATTTTACAATATGATAAGTTGCATAGAACGGTTGTAAAAGAGCTATCAATATATAACATATAGTTTTAAAACTGTGAATTATTTTTAGAATGAAGTTCTGCTAAAATTTGAAAACAAATCGATATTAGAAGATTTTATATTAATAAAATATATTTATAAGATTTTTCGTACTGGATCTTAGTGTAGAATGTCGGGTTTTCCACATTGATATTATTGGATAATATACTTCAACACTTTTATGTCTATTATATATAGAATATATTATTAATATTACAAAATATAATCTGGAGGATTGTGTGTTCTGAACTTTAGTATGCATTTTTCTATATTACTATGATTGGATAATTATTTACCTGGCTCCTGTGGAAAATAGGATAGTTGCATATTAATGCATCATAAAAATTTAAAAATGATTTAAAAATTTTGTTTGAACTATTATTAACAGCACAGTTTTTGAGACCATTTTTTCGGTTGCTTCTTTTATTTTGCACATTTTGGATACAATTATCACCTTTATCATGGAATATCTTCTCCTCTGTCAATTTGTCCACTAATTCCATCTGGAATTTGACATCGATCCTCCTGTAGACGACTGCCCATTAAGATTTGAGTCAAGGTTTGTCAAAAATATTTTACAATATTAATTATAAATTCGGTGTGAAACAACATGTCGGGTCATCTGCAAAACGAAATACGGACGCGCAACTCTTTTATTGCTAATTTATTCACGGCATTTCACAAAATAAATAGAGAAGGAAATTAAAATATGTAAGCGAATAATTGAGGTAAAATTATGTACATTGTGAAATGGCTTTATTTGATAATGTAAATTAAAAAGTAGGCTTAAGCGTGGGCTAGCGCTATTTTTAATTAACAAAGTGCATTTTATAAATAAACTAGCAAACCCGACGAAATCCGTTTCGCCACCAGATGGTTTCGTGAGAAAGATGAATAATTTTTTTGTTTGTTTTATATTTGAAAAGGAAAAATTTGATCAGGAAGGAAGACCCGACTTATTTTTATATATATAGAAGAAAATCTATTTGCAATTATTTAAAACAATTGTTGATTATTTTTATTACTCGAATTTTTAATTACGGTGCGTGAAGTTCCAGCAATTTGCATTAGGGCACGATGTCATGCACCGCTAATTTTCTTAGCTATAAACCTTGCGGAGCCCGAGACCTTTCCAAAGAATGCAAAATTGTCGAAATCGGTTCGTGCGTTCTGAAGTTATTTTGTCAGGAAGGAAAACCCGACTTATTTTTATATATATAGAAGATTATTACTAATTAAATTTTCTATACGCTCGGCAACGTGCCGATATAATCCATTACAAGAGCCTGTTTTCGCGTTCTGGTTAAAAACGCGAATTAGGCCAAACTAGTTCTGCGTTAGATCCCAATCTCGACCGACTCGATTTTAAGCAGTATTTTATTAAATTTTTCCTTGATCCTACTGATCTTAAATATAGTGATAAGTATAGTCTTAAATATAGTATAAGTGAAAATTGCCATTTGTCTGCATACAAAACAAGCGTATGTCATACATATAGAGTTTATAAGTATGGTTGACCGCTGGGTTGCCCTCTCGAGAAAAGTACTAGGTTAAGATGTTCTACACCAAACATAACTCATTTGGTACTAAACATATTTTTTATGGTTCTTGCTATGACAGATACATTAATAACTTTCCTAATTAAAAATTTGATCAAGATCGATCCAAGTGATAATATTCCAATAGAAAACAACTTACTGCTTTTACGAATGCCGATATTAGTATAAAACACATTACATGATATGTTAACTAATTAATTAAACATACTCTTCGCATTTAATCTTCACGATAAACTTGTAATAAATGTTCAGTCTATGTATTAATGACATAATTAACTATTTATTTCATATTTCATTCTAGGTAGATTGTATCAAATGAATTTAACCTATTTAGTAGTAAAACTAGAAGTGATCAATACCAATATTTTTTTTAATATTTTAACGTTATTAAAAATATGAATATCAATTTATAATTATCTACTAAATTAGATACTATCATTTGCAATTTTGTACAAAATATTTAAAAAATCTATAAACGTAATAATGTCCCTATGTGTTATATGCTGGACGTGAAATTTTACAAAGACATAAAATTGGAGAATTCTGAACTTAGAATAAATTTAAAATAATATTTAAACCGCGGTTATGTAGATTTGTATGTCCTACATGACTTTTATACCTTGCATTTTTTATAATTGATTCAATTCTTGAATATATTGAGATAAATAAATCTGATTCTGATATGATAAAATGATAGTATTTTTGCAAAGACTCAATCAAGAATCCGTATTACGAGAGCTGCAATTAATTTGTATAAAAACGATTCAATATGTAAATTTGTAGTATACGTGTTTTGACCAAAGAAATATGTTCCATCATGTTGTTGTTAATCAGGTTAATTGGAGATTAAATTTGTTAACACCAATAAACGAAAAAGTAGTTAATATTTTTTTGCTAAATTTGCAAAAGCTGTAAATGATTAAATATTTAACTCTGCATATTATGCACTAATCATAAAAGTTTTACTCACTTATCGTGTAGTAAATTTTTAAGATTGTAGATAAAACAACCATTTAAAATAATATGATATACATTTTTTGCAGAATTTTATAAGATAATTTGCAGTAAACTTATTTATGATGCTACATAAATTATTTATTTATCGTTTTTTTAATTTATTTAGATGTGTGCGATACTACGATAACCACTATGTCATTTAAAAAATGATTGCGTATATGAAGTCGACTTTTATCATTCTGGATAATCATTTTTCATCCAATATATTACCATATATGAAGCTATTATCTAAATATCTAAGCAAATTTGAACATAATTATACCGTTTATCACAATATCATTTATAAATATAGAATAAATTTGAATAATATATGCAAAATTTTATATGACGTACAAATGTCTTTTGTAATCTATGGATTCATCTAAAAATAATTTATTAACAAATTATTCAGATTATACGTACAACAAGACTAAAAAACTTTTGAGTGACTATTTAATATTTGAACTTATAACATTTTCAACATTTTAAGCATTTAATTGTACTTATTGTTTATTTTGTGCTTATGTTAATTAGTTATTTTTTCACATAGAGGTACGAGTATACCACATTTGTAAATATTACGATGCGTTTTGTTTATTGTATGAAACTACTGTTTGTTTATTTTTGAACCATAATTAATAAAGTTCACATCTTTCGGCAATGGTTTGTTAATGAAATACCTCTCAATATATACTGTATAAACAATAGAGCAACCTTAACATTCGTAAATAAAAAAATTAACCATCAGTAATGTAAGTTAAGTTTAGTTAAACATTTTAAGCATATAAATTTATATCAATTTAAATTGATTGAAACATTGTTCAATATTTTATAATCTAAGAACAATAAAAAAAACTTGGATTTTATATTACCTTAGATCCTCCGGTGGTTACATTAAAAATTTTGGGAGCGCCTATCTCTGGAGAATATGCAGAAGGACAAGAAGCAGTTCTACAATGTGGTGTTAAAGCTAATCCCAGCGTTTGGAAAATAACTTGGCTTCACAATGTAAGAAAATAAGTTTCATTTAACTTAAAACCCATTAATATATTAATTATCTATTTCATATAGAGTAAAGAAATCCAATCCAATGACAAAAGTATAGTTATGGAAGGTAATGACCTGATATTGAGCAATATTAGTAGTGCATCGTCGGGGCAATACAGATGCACTGCTCACAATTCTGAGGGACAAACACAAAGCAAGTCAGTTGCTATAATTGTGCGATGTAAGCATTAAATAACATTTTTACTGTTTATAATAATAATTATATTCTAATTAATAATCGTTTAAACTACTTGAAATTTTATTATATTTTTGTTTGCTTTTAGATTCTCCTATTTGCAAATCCACCTCTGTCCATAAAATAGCAGCGCCTGAAAATATTCCCGTTTCTTTAAAATGTTCCGTCGAAGCCCATCCAAAGTCGAATATTACTTTTCGTTGGACTTTTGCAGATATGGGTGAAGTTCCTGGCCGATTTATAAATTCTTCTGGTAAACACTGAATAACGCCTTATTATATAAACCATATTAAATACAGAAATCTATTGCGTAACATGCATATATCTTGTTTCTTGTTACATAGATAAATTCTGAACATATTACTATTCGACTCTACTATCAGTATTTTAACTGATGTTCTATTAAATAAATTTAGGATCTACTAGTATATTGACATATAAACCCGTCGCAGATTTAGGATACGGACAATTTGCTTGCAAGGCTCATAATGAGGCAGGAGAAACAAAAAGGCCTTGTGTGTATCAAGTTATACCTCCAGGTTAGGAATATTACTAACTAATTATATTCATTAATTAACAACTAATTCATATGAGATG